TAAAAATATTGATACATTATTGATAATGTGTGAGAACATTCAAAAACTATAGAAGAGATTTAAATAAAATTGGATACAGTAATTAATGCAAGTTTTGAATGAATGAAAATTCTTCTAAGTTATTTTCTTATCTTAAGAGATCATCACTTGCCTCAAAGATCATATAGAATAAATTAGTTTCTTCCAGTGATACGACGAGTCAAAAACTTTATGTTCTGCCTTCGTTTAAGTTGTTCTTTCTCTTCTTTTACATACTTAAAGTCGCTAGGCTAGTAACCATCAGAATCTTTAGTATGAGTTGGCAAAAGTTAAACATAACACGAATAGCTTATTTATAACTTTTCATTTATTAATTTATGTCGATACTAGCACATGTGTTTTATGAAGAAAAATTAAAACTATATAATTTGACAATGCAAAACTTACAAAGAGAGTATCTGCTCGTAAAGTAAAAGTAAAAACTAAATATCTTAACTAAATAAAGAATTTTCATCTTGTCTTGTAGATATAAAATAATAAAAAAAATAACAGTATCAGAAGAACTTAGTTTCATTTAAAAAATACGAACGTAAAATTTACAAGTTCTTAGTCAATCAATGGTTAAATTTTCTAAAGTATTTTTTCATTACTTGTATATATTTTTTAGCTCCATAGTAATCGTGTGTCAATAAATATCTTTGTTATTGTAAGTTTTAAAACTCCGTGCAACTAAACAGTTAGTCACGATGTTTCCTCAACATGTATACAACTATACTTATCCGGTTTAACGGCATGTTACCTGCGCAGGCGCACGACTGTATTTCTAAGCACATCCATGTAGTGACGTGTGCGCATGTCTTCCGGTAATTTGCTTTGCGCCACTGTTTAAGTTATCTGTCTTTACTCATGTACAACTCATATTAACACTTATTTTCTGAACACATAGATATCCTTAGTGATACTTTCTCCTAATAAAAATTAGTAACCTATTGTATTAAAGTTTTCACAGACTGTACTTAGTTAATCAACTTAAAAACGCTTTTTAGTTATACAAGTTGGATTCCAGAAAGGCTATTTATAAGCTTTGATACTTGAAGTTTATAAATATGAAGTCAGTAGTGGCCTAGTGGTTAAAGGGCCCGTCTTTCATGCACGAGGGCGTGGGTTCGATCCTGGCCCTGGCAAGTACCAATGTGATTTTTCCAAGTCATATGTACTTTTTAAGAGTATTTAGACATCACTGATTAATGCATTCCCAAAAAGGGTTGATGTCAGACCGGCCGGGTCGTAAAAACAATTAGCCAAAACTACTCGCAACATGTCAAACAGACCCTGGCTAAAGCTGGGAATTTGCCATGTAGAAGAAGACTTTCTTATATTATTTTCATAAAAAAATATTTATATATTATGTTCGTTAGATAAGCAATAAGAAGCGATACCTATTAACTAGTTCTATTTGAACCTACTGTCTAGTCTCATCTTAAATTGTATACTAAATCATTTCAAATTTAATTTAAAATTTAAATATTTTTAAACACATTTAAACCTCATAATGTTCGCATTTCATTTACTTTCCGTCGGTAAAATGGTTTTGTTATAACCGTGGATATAAATTTAAGGAGTATTATATTAGTATTATTACATCAAAAAAATAATTATATTAATTATAAATTAAAGGGCTTGTTATAAATAATTCAACCATATAAAAAATAATGTTTTATATAAAGGAATCATAATAATATTAAATAAAGTGCATTTTGATAAAATTGTAAGTCCTTTTGATAATTTTAATGTATACATATATCTTTATATTTGAGATATCAAAGTAACATTATTTATAAATAATTTTTACATCCAAATTGAAGAGAGAAAGAATTGATATTTCTGAAGTAAAATATATAATATTAAAAACAAAACATAGATACACATACATATGTCAAACCAAATCTATCATATATAAAATATATTTTATAACGATCTCTATAACTTCCAACATAATATAATATATATTTATATATATCTTTCATTGTCGTCTTTCTTCAGATATGTCCAACAAGTCCTGTATCACAATCTCCTCTCGTCCTTCACTCGTCTAATATCAAGTCATCCTCGTATAGTGTGTATGTATCTTGAACACACTCGTGTCTGTTCTCTGTAGCCGCCTGCTGTCTGTTGGTCATATCAGACGTGTTCATTACTACATACAAGGATGTCAGCGTGACGTTGTACATCAATTATAACATACAACAACTCATAGGAATATGTTCTCTAGTTTCAGAACACATGTTTGTTTATTGATCTGTCTTAGAGTCTACGGGATATTGTAAAAAGTGAATATCGATAAAGAGACTTATTGTAGTATGTATTAAGTTTTTTTAATGCTTTATTTTCACTAGATGGAAAGAATTAATTTTAAATGTATTGTTTATGAAGAGTAATATATTTTGTTTTTAACTTTTATAATACGTCATAAAAGCAAAGTTTGTGAAATACATACTCAGTAAAGGTTGTTATTTATTTGGTTGGTTAAGTAGGCAACAATACAACAAATTTATTTAATTTAACTTGCATCTGTTGATTAATGGATTACAGTTTTAATTTCGACTAATTTGCCAGTAACTTGAATGTAGGATTAAAATTTTCAAATTCAAAATCCGAAAATATGGTAAATGTTTATTGTGTTCTTCTCGTAAACACCTTAATTGTGAAATTCTTATAAATACAATTAGGTTGTATATACTTATATATTTCAATTTATATTATTACGTAGTTCCTGATATTCAACTACCAGTAGATTGACAATCTTCCGAGGGACTATTATTTACTTAAAACCTTATTTTTACACTAGATAATGTTTGTATATTTCTTAGCTTTAGTAGTAACAGATATTTCATTTGTTCAAGCTTAACTTCACGATTCGATCTTAACGAATTTTTTTGTATGAATATAGAGAAAAAAGTGCAAACTTATATTTTCATACAAAACAAAGATTTGATTTCTCCAACACATTGCTGTTAAATTTTTATTTCCTAATTTCTTTAAAGACACCCGATAGTTTTTAAATAAATGACTATAATATTTTATTTTATATATGAAAACTAATTATTAAAAGCTGAGTCGGAAGGAAGCTTGCAAATATACTTTTATCTAATCATGATAAGTTATAATTGCAACAGACGGTCAAAATAAAGTTACAAACAACTCCGCCATCATAACTTACCGCCGATTATGGCAAAAAATGCTCTTTTAAAAATCATATGTTCATATTTGAAATGACTTATAACCATCGCTACACAAACCAATCTAGACTTTATTATATATCATTAAAGTTTAGTTTGATATATCAGCGATGCTGGTAGAAATATAAAAAATTATAAAGCAAATTACGTAGAAAAACCGCATTAGCAATAAACTTTGTTTAATGTTTGTTGTAATGTATGCGATGGAGTGGGATTGTGGTGGGTTTGTGGGATTGGTGGTGCGATAGAGATGGTAGCTCGTGGTAAAGAACGGACAGCCAATAGGATGACGAGCGAACCAAGGGCGAAGGAGAGGGCAGAGGTTCATACGATGAAATTGGTTCAAACCAGCTCAGATGCTATCGAAAAAACTAACTGATGGGGAAAATGTAATGAATTATTATGAATATTAAAGAAAAAAAAATGTACTACATTTTACTGAAGTTTGATAAAATGCACAAAATGTTTGTATGTAATTGCAACAACAAAATATATACAACTTTAGATAGTTATATGTTGTTAAAGAAAAATATCATTATTATATATACATACATACATATATTGAGAATGTATTGCTTGTATGTCTTATTTTGTCGAATTTAAAATTATACATTTTATTTCATTAAAACGTAATCAAATCTATAATTTCTTAGTATTGATATCATTTTAATATGATGTGATATGATATAGGTATATTTGTTACCTTTAAATGAAAATAATTGTATTTAAAATATTTCCTACATTTTAACAAAACAATCTCGTCTTTGGAAATGACTAGAGTATATTTTTTGTTAAATCGTAATAACAAACCCTTTTATAAAAATTTATTTCACTTATTAATATATATCTACGTATATGTATATAATTTCCGCCATTTTCGTTGCTGACGGACAGACACACAGTGTATTCATGTTTCCTATATATAAAAACATCAATAATTATTAAATATTTATCCGTTATTATTCTATCAGGTCTAACATCTGAACATGTATGCGCCATTTCATAAAACGTTGATAGCTATCATAATAATTGTCTCTACAGCACTGATTTGACGGCCGACATATAATATATAATTTATGGAATACTATATGACTCACAAAGGATCTTCACATATAATAGTTATATGTCATTAATACTAGATTTATATATGACTGTCTGCAACAATTTTGGATTTTTTAAATAATATCATGTACTTTTGTTCTACTGTTGCCAATGACATTTTAGTAAAATTAATTTGCAGTATGTAAATATAATTGGTTTTAAGAAATTATATAATATGTATGAAGAAGTGGTACCCAGCTTTTTAAAGTACTCGCATAAAGTTCTGTCAAGATAAAACAATATTAAAATTACATTATTAATGATTTTTTAATAGAAATAAATTTAAAAAGATAATAATGTGTCACGAAACTTTGGAGTTTAAAGAAAACCATCAAAATCTAAGTGAAAATTACTAGTTTAATATATCGGTACAGCGCCATCTATCAAACATATTTAAGACTTAAGTCATCAACTCCGTGCTGCTGTCAAGTAATTCGACTAACTTTCTACAGATGGCGCTTTAAATAAAATAACAATAAAGGAAAAAACTTCATAAAAAGTACTCCTACACAATTCGTAATTGTAAATTGTAAAAACTTACATAAATTATATAAAAAATACACATAAAAATAACAATTTTAAGTTTAATTTCAAAAATCAATTCTTTATTTAAAAATCGTTGTCCATTTTGATATCCGTCTTTCTTTTAGCAGATCCCTGTATTTATTTTTTTCCATTTTGTTATATATGATTAATTTGTCTGGCGTACTGTGGTTGATTTTTACGGAAGCAGCTCAGATATTTCCAGGCTGTTTCCACCGGTTCGTGTGGTGTCTTGAACAAACACTTGTCTATAATCTTCTCAACCAAGTCTCTGTCTGAAATAAAAATAAAATTTTAATCGCTTAACATACTTTTAACGGCATTTTTAACTGAACATGCAACCTTAGCTTTGTAATGTCAATAAGAAGTAATATCTTATATTTTAGCATAGAAGGAAACTGTAGTCTAAGTTTAATAGGTAAATATTAATTTTACTTTATTGCTACTAATCTATAGTCCTTAAAATTATGTTAAAAGACTTATCTTCTACATTAAGAGATAGTTCCAACTAATATTTTTTCTCTTCCAATTTATTATTGTTCAGTTACCTTGTTTTGCAACATTTTTCATAGCTACGTGTAGTTTGAGGACTCCTTCAGGTGACATGACTCCTGTTCTCGAAAGATAACATAACAGCCAACTCTTTAACGCGTAGTTTGGTCTCTGAAATGCATTAATTGTTTATGATAAACACAAAAGAATAGAACCTTCATGTCAATAAACAACTTAACATAAGTTCTTCTGATGCAAAAGATTTTTAAAAATAAGTAAGGTGATACACAAAATACTTCTGTTTACTAATTTATAGACTTGCAACCAAGACATTACTTGTTTTAAAATCGATTACTTCAAATATTTGTAATTTTGCGAATTTCATTTTATTTAAACTATTAGATCTTAATAATCAGATATTGTAACATACCTATGAACAAATGAACATATATAAACAAATGATGTCGGCTGATGTTGGAACGCTGGATAAAATTTTATAGGACTTTCGCTAGGACTTAGGTAATATTATAAGGAGTAATTTACATAAATTACAACAAATGACTTGATTGATGAAGTTACATAACTTAGTCTACCATTTAACCAATTTCAAAGAGGAGAAAAGCCCGCTATCTTTAGGTATTTCCATTGCGTAACTCAGGGTCTGATGAAAGACTCAAAAATATGATAACTAATACCTAATGGAAATTAATATCGAGTAATACTAAAGCCGAGAGCTAATCTATTAAAAATGATCAAGTCATTTGCTGATATGCTAAAAATTTTATATGCCCTATATTTTAGTTAAATTGACCACTTTTAAAATTCATTAAACTACGTATTCTAAAGTATAGGACTTAATAATCACCTACATGTATGACATTATTTTTCAAAAATATAACGTGTTCGGGATTCGCTCTTGATTGATGAAGACAATGCTCCACGTGCTCGGGTATCAAAGGTGTCTTGTAGTTGGTAATTGAAGCTGTATTTCTAACCTGAAATTAATATACCATTAAAAGATCTTAATAAACTTAAAAATAAACCAATTGCTATTAATAAAGATATAGTTTTTCTTAATAAACCTACTTGAACAAAAGAAATCAAAACAATAGCTAATATAAAATGAAATTTTGTGGACATCTTATAGCTGTATTGTGCAAAGACGTAAATGATATTGGATAGATCATGCACCTGTTACCATATTTATACTTTATATAATAGATAGAACGTTTGTTTCTTTACCTTTTCCTGTTGTAACTGTTTCTAAACACTGCAACATACAATGGTGTTTAAATATTTTCTCTTACTATGATAATAACATGATGTTATGATAACTAGAACAGCCATTCATAGATTAGAGATACATTTCATTGATAGATATTTTATGACCTGTTTCTGTATTTTACGGGGTAAATTATGCTGAAGAACTTTAACGTATTGAAGGTAAATTTTAAATCGTTGAGCAAATGAAACTATATGGATGATATATAAAATATGTTTCTTTTATGGTCAATACTCTTATGTCAAATGAGTATGAGAAGTAGTCATCTTTCCCCATGGACATCTGCAACATAAGAAATGTTTCAGATGCGTTGCCAGCCTCGATTGTTGAGCAAGGAAGAAAAGGGAATAGGAAAAGGGCAACCGGCTCTCTCACTCATCAGACAAAAAGCAGCCATTAAATCTACTTCACGCCGAACTTCTGTGAGAGGGTGATACTTACCCGGTCGAGCCAGAACATGTTCGAGCTGTAGTAACATCTATGAACTAATACGCAACATTATATGCCAATGGTTGTAGAATGTTTTCACAATCAGTACTCAAATTATACAAAGTCATAGAGTATATTTTGACAGCTACTAAATTTATACAAGACTATAAAAGATAAAATTTAATATACAATTTTGTTATATTTATGAGTAATAATGAAATAAAACATTGAACTCGTGGCACACAATTTACTGCTTCAACGTAGACTGACAACTGTCATAAACATTATTTATCTACCTGCTATATGAATTTGTTACAAACACTATATCCCTCCACCACTATTGACAAAAGAAATCCCAAAATAACTAAAACTAAACTTAAACTATATCTTTTTGGTCCGTGTACTGCGGATTGGAAATCTGCGAACTGGTGTGGTTGTAACATCAGACCCTACATTAACAGGAAGTACAATATCAGGAATTTGTTTGTCTGTCATTGGACTAGACACCACAGAGTCTGAACCTTCATTAGAGACCACCTCCTCCAACCGTAATTCAGAATCACCTGGGGTTGCCTCAGGCGCGGTTGAAGGACCAGGAGTACTAGCATCCGAGACTAAATCACTTATTGGAGTTGTAGGTATCGATTCTATAATTGGACTATTAGACTCTATTGTAGATTCAGACGCTACCTCTTGAGTCAAATCAGTATTAAAATCTCCGATTGTACTTATTTCAGAGTCAGGAAAATTATAATCTCCCTTATGCAGTAACATTTGATCTATATGTTTTTTTCCTAATTTTAAATTCCGGAATATATATAAGAAAAAGTCTAGATCCAATTTTCCTTTTAATTATACCTATTTTCCACATATATTTTGTTCCATTTTTTCAAACTGTTTTATTAAGACTTTACCTCCTATTTTGAACTGTATCTTACGAGTTCCGCCAAACTATTTACGCTGTGATATCTGTTTGGAAACAAAATTATCATTAGCCATGAATTTGTTACAAACACTATAAATTTAGACCAGTCATTAATGTGGCTCCTGTTTAAAGTTTGACGAACAAGTATGTAAATATAACAATTTATACTCAAAAATATTTAAGCAAACTCACTAGCAGAATATTTTCATCAAGAAAAAATACCCTAAATAATGCCGAAGAGAGAGGAAGAACAAGAAACAAAAACAGCAGGAGATTAAGATGAGAGCATGTAAACAAAACACTAAGATAACCGAGAAATATACAAAGAATGAAAACAAAAACTAAAATTTAATATAAAGACGTAAAATCATGTCATCTTTTTTACTTACTTTTTTCGTCGTATATTTGAACGCGATAGAAGTGGGGGCAGAGCTAAATCTCTTCAAAACCTGCTAAAAAGCTTGCGTGTGTCCAGAACTGACATCAATTCATTCTTAAAATATATTTAAAGGCTATTCAAATAGGTTTGGACAGTGGAGGTGAGCGTTTAACCTACACCTGGGTCCTTAAACCTACATCTGGGTCGCAAGTCCCAGGCACTGTTGAAGCTTCTTTTCTTGCAACGATGGACCCGACACCCGCACGGTGAATCCATGGAATGCTGAGACAAACATTTGTCATAATATAATAACAGTATTGTCTAAACCTAGTGTTTGTATTTATTATTTATACGAGCTCAATATTTATAAAACAAGTGTTACCAACAATACAATAATTTAATTTAATAATCACAACGGAAAACAAAAGAAAGAAAACATTACAAAAAGAAAAAGTATGTATATATCGGCGCTACCAGCTTTAATAACGGATGCGACTTGAAAATAATTTGAGGCTGTCATCAATTCTTATTAAACCTCATTAGTATTTATGATTATTGTTAAAAGTAAAACGAAATCAAAGGAGAATAGAACTATGTTTGAATCTTGTTATAAATATGACGTCTGGACGCACGACGGCGGACTCCAGAATTGAGAATTGAGAATGGAGAATTCAGAGTTCAGTGAGTGCGTATCATTGAAATATGTGATTATGAAGAATCTTCGAGAAATACAGGAGCATTAAGAACAATTGCAGTTTCATTTTAAAATATCATCGAATGCTCTAGAAGAAGTGACATTTGTAACGTCAGCGAAGCTGGCGTCCCTCTCTTTAAAATCAACGAATGTGTAATAAATCCGATATATATAAACTCCATTTATTTGCAATTTAAGTAATTATTAGGAGATCGTAAGAACGTTTTATGCCTAAATTGTCGAGGATTATCATTAAAAATCTAAGCCTAGTTCTTTCGACCAACTATTGTATACTTCCATTAATCTCTAGGGATTGCATTCTTAGGTTAGTTCTAAACATAGGAATATGAAAAATTATACCTATCTATTTTTATATAAAAGTCCGCCTCTCGTTGCCGAGGGCGCGGGTTCAAACCTGGCAAGTACCAATGTGATTTTTCGGAATCATATGTATTTTCTGCGAGTATTTAGACACCACTGACATACGGTGAAGGAAAACATCGTGAGGAAACCTGGACTTATAGTTTCACAATTATAAGTTTGAAATCACCAACCCGTCTTGAGCAAGCGTGGTGATTAATGCTCAAACCTTCTCCATGTGATAAAGAGGCCTTTGCTCAGCAGTGGGCGCTGATAGGCTGATGACGATACCTTTCTATTTGGCGCATTAATTTGATAATTCTTAATCAGATCCTGACAATAAGAAGATCCGATGAACTATCTTCTGTAGTAATATTAAATCCGTCATACGTCTACAATATTGCAGCGTGTACATTTTGAAAAAGGTCAGCCTATCTCTATAAGAGCATGTGCTACTGATACAGGTCGTATGGTAGGCAAGGTGTCTGTTGAAACACATCTGAACCGTTTCAATATGGTTCGAATGTACTGTATAATTTGGATTCAAGTAAGCTCCTTACTAACGCATTAAATAAAATTATTTTAGAGGTCGTTCGTTTAAACTCTTTGGTGTTGTGTTTTATGAACTCCAACATTGTATTGGCCTGGTGGATCATTGAGTCATGAGGGACGAAGCTTAATTTAGAATCGAGAATTGCGCCCAAGTCCCGAATCTGGGATACAACTGCGATCTTTTTATCAATGATGTAATAAGTCGATTCCGAAACCATTCTTTTCCTCGTAAACCGTATGGTACTCGTAACTGTATGCGGTTTAGCCCGCAGATTAAACCTCCTTTGAGATAAGAGTTAGCATCATCATGACATTTCATTCGATTTCAGAAGGACCTTTTCAACAGATTCTGACTTGATTAAAATGGAAGGCATTTCAGTATTAAAAAAATTTTTCGAAATTCGATAAAGATCGAAAAGTAACCTAAGTTACTCTCTATGATCTCTTTATCGAAAAGTAACCTTAGCTACTCTCTTGATAAACAGACAGATAGATAAGTGAAAATATAATATAAATGCTACCCTTATGTCAATCCATATATTGAACATCTGTTCATGTAAAATTACATACAGACACTTTATATAATTGAATGGATTTATCACCATTATATAATATACTACTAATATTTTAAAAACATGTAAAATAAACAATTTTTAATGTGAAAATCAACTTGTAATCATCAATCAATGTATCTTATTTTTGTAACTTATGCAACAGAAATAGATAAATTAAAGTATAAAAAAGATATAAGATGCTTTTGAAATTAATGTCTCAAAGTCTGTGTTAAAAATATGACTGAATCGTCTTAATATTGTAGTTTATTTAAGGTCCACAGTTGTTTACCTGCTCTAAGTATATCAAATATAAAATTATTACTAACCATTTTCATTAGATATTTGAGAGATACAAGCCCATTTGTTTAAATTCACAGTTGATTTTCAAAATATTTAAATTTAAAAAAGAAATTAATGCCACAACTGTCGGTTTATCGATTGGATAAATTAATAATGTTTATATGAATGTGACTTAAGAAATTCATAAAAAATGTTCATTAATATTTAATTTCTTTCTTAGTAATTAAACTCGAAAGCTATTGTAATGTAAGCCAGTTACAGTGCACTCAGAAACATTTATCATTGATTTAATTTATTAAAAATTACACAAACTTTTACTTCATATTATAAATAAACTCTGACCAGTATATTATAATTTTGCATTCTAAGTATATCAAAGAAAAAAATCGAACAAATACGTCTATATAGAAACAAAAAATGAATACCCAATATCATGGAACAAATAATACAAAAACCATTTGAAGTTAAAACCTTTATTTTCAAAGACAAATTAAATTCTCTTAGGCAGTGTCATGTGGAGATGTCTTGATGTCCAGTGTAAATGTTGTGGATGACACCTGCTAGTTCATTAACGACATAGTTCATGGGGGTCATAAGATTGGTTTACTGGAAGATGGAGTGGTTTGGGTCCTTCTCGTGATAGCACTTGGCGTAGTTCCAGGCTGTTTGTTGAGGAGTGTTACCCTTGTTGGCGAGGCAAGCATCGATCAACTTTTCAACAGCGGGTTTATCCTCTGAAATATACAAAAATTACTTTAAAAAATCTATCATTTAATTTGGTTATTTTATGAATAATGTAATTTAGTACACTGTGTTACAAAAGTAATGCTGAACTAAGTGGTTTAGTATAAATAATATAAATTTAAAGTTGTTTCTTGTGCAAGAGAGACGAAACATCTTAGCATTCAATGGATTCACCGCGTTGATGCCGGGTCCACAGCGTTTTGTCAGTCAGTCAAAATATATGTGTGGTATTAAAATATGTATGAATCTTACCAGCGTTAGGTACTTTGGCGAGAGCGACATCCTTCTTGAATTTGCCTTCCTTGGTCATCAACTCTGACTTCATCAACATGCAGAGTACGTACTTCTTCAGAGGCTCATTTTCGGTCTGTCAAAATATAAAGCATTTACTTTGACTATAATTTTTTTATTGATTTCCAGAACATTGAACAGGCATCTTTAGATTATTATACGTTTATTCCTATTTAACTCGTTTGTAATAATGTGTTTTTTTATTTTTTTTTACGGGACAATAAAATCGCAGTACATATTCCATATATTTCTGCCAGTACCTTACAATTTACTGCGTAGCTGTTTTTACATACATTGTATGTATATTAATGAATCATTAAAAAGTTATGACCGTACTTATATGAACATAACATTTAAATTATTTCCTACTAAAAGACACAGCGGAATATTTTTTTATTATTAACAAGGAAATTTATCATTCCTACCCTATGATTGATTGATATCTTTAGTTACATTAATTATTAAAATTATTCAAATGATTTCAAGAAAAACTTTTTCCTTGTTGCGATTTAATTTAATCCTAAATTAACTCTGATGTAAAAATAAGAACGAAATAGAATAACACACAACATTATTTCAAATAATAGAACATAATATGACTCGAAATTGACGTTAACGCATTTCCAATTACGCACATTTGTTGATGTTAGAAACATATATTGTTTTCTTATTAATACCTATTAATGTTGGTAGTTTTACAAATAAAATCATTGTTTTCTTCATACAATTATTCTCACCTTAAAATCTCCAGCCTTAAGCTTCTCCACGAGCTGTTCGTCCGGTTTAAACTCTGCGAGACATTCCGATTTGTGCTTGCTCAACTTTTGCTTCTGCTCATCAGTTAAAGCCTGAGAAACAAATTGGTTTTGAGTTATTTTACTTACAATTAAAGCTTATTAATTTAGCTAGACTGTATTAACCTTCACTAATTAATTATGATTTTCAATTTTATATACTCTTAAACTGTATGACAATAGATAAAGAAAAGATTCTCAATGAATTTATTATTGGAACAATGTATGAATACATCTTGTGTAAATGGGTTTATTTGCCACAATATTTATTGCATATTGAACATTTGAAATAAAAATATTCGGTAATTATAATAGGTACGTGTTATATGATAAAAAATGATTCTAATGCAAAAATTCCTTTACATATGATTAATAATAACATTTTTGTTTGAACACTTATATTTATGTAATAAAAATAAATTCTTAAGCAAATATTTCGTTTAGAATTTACAAATACCAATCACTACCTTAAATACACTCTACTCAAAATTTAGTGTAATAGAATTAAAATAATATATTTATATGAAGGTGACAAATATTTTATAAGGAATGAATATTCAATAGAGAAGAAATATAAATGTATTTTCATACCTGAGCAGCGACGAGGATAGCGGCGAGTACAATGAAAGTCTTCATATTGGCACAAACTTGGCACAAACTAGCGACCACGAAGTTACGTGGTCCTTATATACACCATCTTGATTTGTAACTAATGAGATAGCCAAAGGAGTCGGCAACATTTTTTGTTTATTTTTATTTATTTTGAATGAAAGATGAAGCCTGCCTTTATAATATTTTATTTGTGATACGTATCTTTACATTAGGGTTAAAACGTGCTTTTAGTATTATGTTCTCGTTTATTTTTTTAATTATTTAAATTCTTATTCAATATATTACCTAATTTTAATAATTCTGTTATGATATTGCATTAAAATAATACTTAAATATGTTCATCAGGATTGTCTTAATATTATGGTTATTTATAGTTAATCTAATTTGTGTGTATAAATAGAATAATAAGTTTGAATTACATTATAAAAATATGACATACATTTATCTTATATGAAGCTTTAATTCTGAGAATATTTTTGAACTAAATACAACTCTGGTTTGACCTTCGATTTCTGTTTTTTTTTGGGACTTTAAAAAAGGATGATCGTAAAAAATTCTTCACAAAGTTATTACCTTTGAATTAATTGTGATTGTATAAGCTGATTATAAATATATTCTACTAGTTTTGCGCCAGCAGCTTCGCCCGCCTGGAGTTTGGTTATATCTCGATTCCAAGAGAACCTTTCAAAAGTCTGGGATAAAAACTATCCTACGTTCTTTCTCAAGGTCAACTCCATCTCTGTACCAAATTTCATTAAAATCAGTTCAGTGGTTTAGGCGTGAAAGCATGACAGTCAGACAGACAGAGTTATTTTCGCATTTATAATGTTAGTAGGGTTTTAGATATAAGGAATAGTAGATGTAGAAAAAATCATATACCTAATTCAATTAAAGTGTTTCCTCATATCTGATGTTTTTAGATACTGTAGAAAGACAATTAATGATTTATCTTATACTAGTTGATGAGAATTATTAGGTGCGTTACTATAAATATAAAACATAGCTTATATTGTTTTAATTATGTTAAAGTATTTGAAGTTTAGCACACTATGTGAGAATTTTAAACAGCTATTGTCTTATACATTCCCACATTAATTGTATAAAACGATTTGAATTAATATCATTTCTCTAACAAATAATATTCTTTTAACTTCTTAGCTTTGACATTGAAATATATTATAACTAGCTCTCCGCCCGCAGCTTCGCTCGCGTGCACGTCGGTTATATCGCGTTTCCTAGAGAACTTTTCAAAAGTCTGGGATAAAAACTATCCTATGTTCTTCCTCAAGGTCAACTGTATCTCTGTACCAAAATTCATTAAAATCAGTTCAGTGGTTTAGGCGTGAAAGACAGACAGACAGAGTTACTTTCTCATTTATATATTAGTAGTGATAATCGGTATATATACAAAAGGTTTGAATAGTATTTCTTATATAAGTAATAAAGATATTTATTTGTAATCGTTTGTTCTATTCCCTCACGGTTGAACATCTATGTAAATTACCAAAACGCTCTGGAAAGATCCCGGTTTTATCCTGCAATCAATTTACTTCAAGAACTATAAGATCACACTAGGTGATTTTATTATATATAATACGACTGTATTTTAATAAAAAAGTCCTCTGTTTGTAAGAAATTAGTTCCTGAAAACGGATTATTTAATTTTTATTTATATATACTTTTAAAGGGAAATTGTTAGCAGCAATACTTTAATTCCCAAGCCTATAGTAAAACAGATATAATAATATTATTTAATTTCCTTTCCCACATTGAAATATAATGTAAATAATTACTTATTACTAAATTCAATGAGGAAATCACAGTATTTGATAAGATAGTGCTGCTTTTCAATAATCTAAAGAAAAAATTGTCTTGTTAAAGCGTGGTGATTAATGCTCTAATGCCCATGTGAGAAGATGCTTTTGCTCAGCAATGAGCTCTGATAAGATGATGATGATGATAACGAAACGTAAATATTGTGTTTGATTTTAACGATATTTTAATAACAATATTATTGATTTCATAGTTACCTTAGTGGTTAAAGAATAAAACAACTTTGTAAATAAAAATTAAATAATTGTTCAATGTTTTAAACTTGCATGTCTCAGTCTCTGAGATTTTTTATCACATAGCAACAGTCAATATGTTTAGAAGTAATTAATTATATTGATATAATATGAATAACAAAAAACATATTAGCATAATATATCCAGTCGTTCAAGTTTATTTAGTTTGTTTTTTACACGGACCTGTTCTTGTTTTGATACAAAACAATTTATGGAGTGAAAATCATATACATAGAAGTTTATTTTGAAACAAATGGATCTAGAAATTAATGTTATATATAGATAAATTTTTATTTTTGTTTGAAAACAACTATGAAAGTCTACTCTTAAATATTGTAAACAAATAATTTATTTCTTCATTAAAAACTAGAATAGTCGTAATAATATTAGCTATATTATTATATAACAAACTTTGTTTTAGCAAAATTACAATCAAGACTTTAAATTTTTTCTTCAAATATATTTAGCTTAAGTCAAGAAACAAAAAATGTATACAAAATATGCTTACTCGATGCACATTCGTGGATAGTTGATCTTGAAGGCACCAGTTATCAAAATCTCCTAATGTGTTTCATCCAGATTATGTTAACAGTTAAATTGCCTACAATCATTGTAACTACATGACAAAATGTCAGCAGTTCATCTTTATTGATTTATTATTGTACGTTGACCCCCCGTTCACTATTAAATAACCGAATTATTTGATCACAATGTCACATTCATCAAGCATTGATGGAAAAAATAAGAGTTACATACATACATACATATAATACAAAATTTCATTCAAAAGAGTAGCCTGTTATAAATAAATTAACTGCCAAAGACAAGAGGCAAAGTTGAGCCAATCGATTGTTTGAGTAGATTAATTTTAAGTACACATGACTTCAAAAATAATGATAACTAATTAACTTATGCTTCTTAATAATTTGGTAAGTGTGAAAATTATAAGAACATAAATAAGTGGTCAAAGAGCTAAGTTTAATGAGTGGATCTAGATAGATCATAGGCATTTAACGCAGCTATGACAGCATCTTTTCATTCATTGGCTAAGAGTAGGTGCTGGTGTGACGGAACAAAATCCTTCCACCTTCAAATTTATCTCAATTCCTTAATACTTATAAGGTTTTCTTAAGGTAACGTGGTTGTTGACTATCTATGATCGAGCTTTTGAAATAAAATCTTCTTTCTTATAATGAGACCTAAGTCTTAAGCGAGTTTTATTTATTTAAATGAAACAAATATTTTTCGGATAAACTAAGTGTGATTTATTTTTGTAAAATCTTCTTTATTTCTTTTAAAAATATACTTATTATTTTTTTTAACTGAAGCCTCAGGAAACTCGACGTTTTCCTCATTTGTAAATTAATTCAGTACTAATAAAATTATTAATAAATCATATACAGATATAACATGTTAAGAGTAAATACAAGTTTATATATTAGTATATATGTTTTATAGGTCATTAGATGTATATAACGTCCCAATCTAATCAGTGCGCGTTCAAAACTTTCCACACGAGTCTCGAGGGCAATAAAAATCGTAAACATATGCGTACAATACAAAAACACATAAAATTTATTTAAAAATATCAATAAATAAGAAAGTGAAAGCCATATCATCTTTATATAATTTTATCCGTAGTACATAAATCAGTTCCATAAAACTATCAAAAGATTTCTCTTTGTGTTAAAACTTATTTTTTTTTTATTAAGGTAAGTATGACTCAAAGGATTTTTAGTAAATAAAGTACGAAGTAATTTCTTATATTGTCAGATGTAAACAATAATGACGTTTTGGTATGCGTTATGGTTCTCGTGGTAATATTTTTATGACTATATTTGAAGACATTATCTCTATATTATAACGTGAGTTAATAACTACTAATATTTTTAAATGCGAAAATTTATGAGGTTTTTTTATGGATATATTGTTTGTTCGTTCACGCAAAAACTATTTTACTGATTTCGATAAAATTTTAAAGTCTTGTTCTCTAAACATCAGAATAAGATGTAAGCTATAACTTATTACAAAATTCTATGTTATTGCCCTTGCAATACAAGTATAACAGTTTTATTGAAATGTCTATACAGGTGACCAAAATATTTATAAGGTAATATTAAAATTACCTTATTATCTCTAAAAAATATCTTTTTCAAAATTTTCAAATTCTTTTATTAAAATTTTAATCGCATCTGAAGACATTTTATTTGGTAGCAAAAAAATATCTTCATAATACTAATGACTTACAGTTCACGTAATTTAGCGAATATAATATCCAAAATATTACTATGTACTTAAATCGCCTATAGGTGGTAGAGCCTAGCTGTGGTCAAGTTACTACAGCTCGAACATGGGGTGGCTCGATCGGGGAAGTACCACCCTCTCACAGAAGATCGGCGAGAAGTAACCGTTAGTATAAAAATATTTCTCCATAAATATCAACTTTTTGAAATAAATATATAGCTTTATCTTAACTCAAAGATATGTATGTAATCGTGAAGGTGGTGTATTTATTCTTAAAGACTTCAATATATAAATAAAATTAAAGAATAGCTTAATAAAAAAAGGTTTATTTATATAAAAAAGAAAACAAACCTATATGACACAAAAGGTATGCGACATTAGGACGTTATTGTTCATATTGAAATATTAAAGTGATAACGTACATATAGTACTCTCGAAATTCGTATGTCAAAGTAGCTAGTATATTTGAAAATAATGCTAAAAAACTGTTGGTAACAAAACAAAATATACGTACAAGTAGCTATAATCAAAGTTTGAACGTCCTTGTTCATTAAAGTGAAGATTGTAGTGGAAAACATTTTATTTGTTAAATAGTAAATTGGTTCTTATAAACTTTATTGTCCTTCCATTCCAGTTGAGTCAGATGTTAACTCGCCTTAAGTTACGTTGTTAGACAATCATCTCATTAAACATACGTTTGTTTCATCCGTATTAAAAGATAAGATTAGAATATATAATAAGAAGATATCTTAACAAAGGTTACTGTTTAAGAAGAATTATATGTATTGTAATTAGTACATCTATGTAGTAATGTAAATAAATCATAGCTGTCTTGTAAAGTATGTAAGTTTCCTTAGATTTTTATACACTAATATTGTTAAACATTGATCATATTCAAATTTTAGATAGTGGAATGGTAATTCGATATCAAAGAAGCGGCCTGAATATCAAATATGTTTGGTTCCAGATTGTAAAATATATTTAAAGAACTAGTTAGATATCAATTAATTAACTATGTTTTTATATTCCTGATCAGGATTTTAACCTCTAGGCCAGTGGTGGTCTAGAGGTTAAAGGGCCCGCCTCTCTTGCATGAGGGAACTGGTTCGAAACCTGGTAAGTACCAATGTCATTTTTCAGTCATATGTAATTTCTAAGAGTATTTAGACACCACTAACAGATAGTGAATGAAAATAGGAAGCCTGGACTTTTAATTTCTCATTTATAAGTTTGTAATCGCCAACCCTCTTGAGCAAGCGTGGTGATTAATGCTCAAACCTTATCCATGTTAGAAGAGACCTTTGTTCAGAAGTGGGCTGTGATAGGCCGATGCCGATATTTTCCTGATAACTATTGTAGTGCAACTGTAGTTACAGCTTCTTGATAATTCTAGACGCTATACTTCACGATAGCAATACTGCAATTAAAATGACTTCAAATCCCATGAATTTCGCCTTATTTAACAATAATATATGGTTTTTTTATTCGTCATTCGACTTTCCAAACTCATAACATGTAATTTTATTAGTTATTTCAGTCAGTCCAAATACTTTTTATATTATTAATTTTCTCCCCTAAATTATTTTTTAACAATTAAATTAACGTCTTTATGATGAAGAAATTTTTTTTGTCTTAAAACACTTCTTACATAGACATCTTAATATATATATTTATAAATAATATTATTATTATATCCCAAAATTATTTTTAACCAAATGTAGCTCATAGAAATTTGTGAAACGCTCTCACTGAAATCCTATGAAATTAAAATGAATGGTACAAGACTACGCTTTATAATAATCGTGGTAACTAAATACTAATATAAGGCATATTTTGGAAAGTCTCATATTAAACTTATTTTAAAGTTCAAACTCATTTGAAACATAATTTATTTCAAACATTTTTTATACGTCCAACGTAAAAATAACGATCTAAAATTAATCAAATCTTCCATAACTTAAAATATAAAGTGGACTTATGTTATTAATTAAATTTTCAGGTCGATGAAAACACTGCAAAACTTAAAAATTTTCTATAATTTTGGCAATTCCGTGCGCATGCGTTTTGGTGTTGCTTTGTAACGTCACAACATACAGACGTCAAAACGATCACACGTGTAAGCTCAGGAACATGTAAATAGTGCCTTTTATTATGGATAATCATTTTATTCTTATTGGTAAGTTTATAAAAGAATATTTTACACCTAAATTCATTAATTACCTATTCATACATTTCATTTATTCATATCATTTCTTAAGATAATTTCTATGAATATATGTATAACGATTTAAGTTTTATATTAAATATAAAATAGTTTTTTGTTTCAATGTATCGTATAACTGTAAACTCGCACGAACTTCACACTCAAACACAGTATTGCGCAGTCCACAGCTCACTTCATATCACACAAGCAAAACACCAGAGAATAAACGCATACAAATTTTAACCATATTCTATTCATATACAATATTTACAACTGTTAACTTATTTTTGTGTTATTTTTACAAGTTTAATTGGTATTTTTCTGCGCGGTTAGAGGTAAGTGTTTCAGAGATGCCCCAATTTAATCCTATTTAAGCCAATCTAGTATCTTCGCTACAGTGCCGTCTACAGTGTCTCATTCGTGTTAAAATCCAAATATTCTATAAAGCTTTTATATATTTTTTTTCATATGTGTTTATATATGAAAACTTCCGTGAAATTTATTTTACTAAAATTAGACTAGAGCGGATTGTTTGGGATTCAATAAACAGTTTAATACGTACTCGGTGTATATAGTTTTAAATTCCAACAAAACTTTTAACTCCCATATTATTGACGTATTTGTTACAGAATAGAAGTTATTGTATTTATTTAAGCTATCATACATATTGATTTGGCAATGTATATATTCGTCTATAAATAATTATTATATTTAAGAGTAATTTGAATAAAAATAACTTTGATAATAATTCTCGGATGGATGAATATGAAAGCTTACGTCATCGTTACATAAATATATCGACTTATAATTCATAACGTTTATAACGCTGGGGACGTTGGCATCAATTGAAACAAACAGCGCACTTAGGGGTTGCCTGCACTGCGTTGAATCGATCGTGAGAGCGCGCGTGCGCGAATAACATCATACGTCAGTGGTGTGAAACCGCGAGTGGTAGCAGGTCTCGCCATGCCGAAACCCACCCCCGTGGAGGACCTCATAATACCCCCGCAAGACCAAAAAATATGCGGGACCATATGCGTCTGCCAAATGACGGCCATACTAAGCTGCGTCGCGATTGTATACCTCACCGTTGCTATCTACATGCCATACACAAGAGCGATTGCCTCGGGAATCGACCCGACTCCGATTATGTGCACAACGACGAGGGCTGTTAACAAAGAGAATTGTGATTGGGGCTCGTGTGGGGAATGGTGCTTGAGCAAAACCTCGGGCGCCTGCATCCAGATCTACGTCAACCTAAGGAAGAACGGCTCTTCGTTATTACTATCCGAATGTGGTAGTGCTGCAAATAAAACCTGCTACGGCATAGACCAAGAGAACGCCAAAAAGTATCATTGTATACGAGACGAATGCAGAAATCTGACTGGAACGTTCAATTGCACGGAAGGAAAATGTATAAACATAACTGACGCGTTTGAATGCGCCTTTAGAGATACAGATCCTCCCTTGAAGTGTTCAGGTAGACGAGGAAAAATAACTTGTATAGATGTTCACGGATTATTTTCATGTAGTAGAGGCACTTGTAGAAAAATAAGAACACCATACAACTGTGACAGGCGCTGTGTTGACATCCCTACTCGTAACAAGAACGTCATAGTATTGAGCGGTGACAGAGTCTTCCTAGCAAAATGTGCTAAATTGGCCCAAGAGGATGGTGGTAATGTAGTTTGGACTGACTCAGGAGAAGAAGTTTTAATGTTGTCTTGTCATGCAGTTCATAATGGCTCATCAGGAGTCGTAGCTGTAGATTGTATTAACGCGGCTTTGTTGCCCCGAACTGAAATATCGGATCTAACAAATTTTACATATTTACAATATTTATATACCTCAAAAGCAACACCTAATAGACTTATTGCTCCGTCTGAAGTGGAGTTAACATTAGCTAATGACAGTAGATTGATGATAAATCTCGAAGGATGTGTCAATACACTTGCTGATGAATGTAAAGAATTCTTAAAAGATTACGGACGTGATGGTACCGACCACAACGCTAAAGCCAGATTCCCCTGCTTTTATACAGAGAGCAATCCAGACACCGTGGTAGCGAGATTTGATTTGGACGCCACCTATCGACAATTCATAGTAGCTTTAATACTCCCGACAGTTCTAATTGTAGTTTCGTGTATAACTTTAATGTTGTGTCAAAAGACTGTTGAAGTGGGAGATGATGCAAAGATGCGAATCAAGGGTTGCGGGAGTGGACAAGCTGATATGCAACTATCTCCGAACGATCCTGTATCTCCCCTCTGAGATCAGTCACGTGAGATATTTTTTGTACCCCGTACTCTCCAAAATAAAGCCTTAGTACTTAATATATAAAATATAACGATTGAATAATTCACAAATAATATTTCCACGTATATTTTTGGATCAATAATTGTTCTTTTGTTTCTACATATTAATTATTCAAACAAAATTTCTTTTATTAAAATCGATTGTGTCAAATTAATTTCAACCGAAAGATATTTTCGAATCAAGCATGAATAGTTAAACACGATATGCGGCACACAATGACCTTGACCTGGTAAAACTTTTACGTAAAAGAAATATACTTCAGTACTCATACGGTGTACGGCATTTGATCACGAATCGTTTTGAGTGCAACTTTTACTGACAGTTTTCTAAATTGCCCTTTAATAAGAAGTAAGGTTGTGATAAATTGGACTTTTTCTTTATTTTCCAGGTGTTCCCCTCCTTTGCGAGGGCCCGGCTGGTTCATTTAGAGACGACTAATTGCTTTCTGTGCTGCTGTTAATAATCTCTCCTGATGTCGACGATAAGCAGATCTCGAACGAGTCTTTCACCTGCCACCTCTGAAAGATCTACACTTCCTATGGGCGCGTCCGCTGAGCCGGGCAGCCCGGAGTTCCAACCCTTAGAGCCGACGAGGGAGCAACTGCTTGCACATTTCTTCGAGAGATTCAAATTCTACACATCGCTCTGCCTTGGCACGTCAGCTATACTCGCTGTTTTCGCATTCTTATTCTTAATACCGTTCGTCGTAGAGCCAGCAATACAGACGATACTGGCCGAATTCGCACCAGAAGCTGGTATATGCGCTGTATCGGATCACGTGTACGCTAACACACTGACGAACTGCACATGGGCTTCCTGTAGAGAGGGTTGCACCACAACGCATACAAAATGCCACAAAATCCGCGTGAATCTAGCAAGGAGACCATTCGAGGACAACACTCCTGTCCCAACTGAATGGGACGCCACAGATTTGAAATTTCTGATAAATCCCGAAGGTTGTGGTTATCCGCCACGAGTGAATTGTTCAGAATTTGCAAATGATTATGCTGGAAAGAAAGCGCCTAAGATTTTCCCTTGCTACTACAGTATGACGAGACCAGACCTTGTGGTGGCGAGATACTCCTGGGACACAACCATCCGGGGTCTGGTGCTGGCTCTAGTGTTACCGACAACGGTCTTCGTCTTCAGTCTAAGTGTACTCGCGTATTGGCATTGCCATTGCTGCGACAGAGCCTGCAATAGGCGGGTACACGCAGAATCATATGCTAGCAAAGAAGAGTAAGTATAACATTTATATTTACAAATATTATACCCTTATTTTATATTTAGATTATGATTATGATATTGCAGGAAGAATATAATTTTGAAGTTTGATGCTGCAACCTCATAGCAGTAGATTTTTAACAACTTATTGTTACCAAGTATGTTTTATGTTGGCACTCAAGTTGGTTAGACCACGTTTTGTTGATATTTTTAGATTAACACTTGAGAGTAGCTGTAAAATTCAACAGTAGTATAAAATTTTACTGCACAGTTGTTAGTGCCTTTACTAGAATAGAAAAAAACAACAATTTTTGACTTGATCGAATACGTAAAATAAGTCTGTGTTTTACTCGTAAAGGCTGTCTCAGAATATGATTCGGTTTATTATGTGTTACTTAATGATGTTTTTATTGTATTTACAGTAGCAAGCTCTTGTGTGAACTCGACGAAGATCCCAGTGACGATGTGTTCTGACGGCGACCTACTACTGCCCGCCGGCGTGCCTCGCCAAGAAACGATGGTTACACACAACTGTAGACACACAAACATACACACCAAACTATACTCGTATCTCAATAATGACGTGCCATTCTATTCAAACTATGCAAGGCTTGAGCAAATTGTATAAAAAACAACGTCTCTATTCAAAATTGGGGCTAGGCCGGGTAGTTAAGGATTTAAACGTATTTTGCTATTAAGTATTCGATGTGTAATTGATTTATGCTTTAATTCTATCTTGTTCAATAAATATTTTATTAATTATAACAGAGAATGTACAAATATAATAGAATAAAATTTATATTAAAATTTAAATTATTAATACATAGTTTGCATGTTATAAGTAGCTTTTTAATGCAATAATATATTTAAAAATCTTTGAAAATCACGCCACAGTCGATTTACTGTTTTTGTGGCAATAGTTATATTCACTTAATGCACCTCCTTTATTAATAATTGTAATTAAGATTCTATATAAATATTTATTTATTTTTGAACATAGACAATAATTAACGAAAACCCATATTAAAAATTATTGGCAGTTTAATGAATTTAATGTTGTATAACAATTGATTACTTCATTAATAATTTATTAGTAGTAAGGACTTCGTTAAATTTATCTGCCTATATCAGAATATTAGCTAATTCTCATGTAAATATGAATAATTTATTCTTATAAAAGATATTTTGCTTACAACTACGTAAAAACTACGTATTCCTTAAAATAAAATAATAATTAGAATTACTACAAATACATCCCATATCGATATATTAACAAAAATATTTATTATCAAATTTAATTATTTTTCTTACTTAAATATTTTTTAACTTCTTTTATTTGTTATGAAGGCTTTCAATACACAAACTTCGACGCCTTAGTAAAAATTCACCTGCCATAAGATTGTGATATTTAAGCTTAATTGGTTAATATATTAAATATCAATTAGAATTAAGCTTTTCTGTATTATAATGTTATTATAGTATTGTTAACTTAATGATTGTATTCGTTGAATCATAGAATTTTAACGTGAGGCGCTAAGTATGCTGGAAAAAAAAATTCATTTAAGTTTTTTACAACCATAATAATCTTTGAAATTATTATATTAATATTTTATTTCTTTTGTAATTTTTTTATAATATCAATATTTCTCAAAATTATTGTTTCTTTATATTTTATTATTTTAATCATAATATTTTGTAAATACAATACTTTATTGTGGTATTTGTGTAAATATTACTTGATTTATAATTTTTTGCATCGCCGCATACACCAGATGAATAAAGCTTTTGTTTATAATTGTGTTTTTATTAACCTTTCAGTTTAAATACGTATTGATGTAGTTTAAATTTATTGAATACATAAAGATTATTATATTAAAGAAAATAGCTTTAGTGTAAACATATTTGTATAGGGACATAAAACTTTATTAAATACATAATCACTGATTTAATTGGATTTAGTAAATGTATTAATTAGGAAAATTATGTTATGTTTAAAAGAATATGCATAATATATTTTTGATAGACAAACATACACTGTAACTGTTACTCTAGTAACATATCCATATGTTCCGAGGAATTGGTTTACATAGTGTCAATATCAACCTTCTACTATTGCACTACAGACTGTAAGATTTGTTTTCATCCACATCACCTAGATGCATTTAATTGCAAGAGTGTACGTACCTGCAGGATGTGGAATGATTCCACCCGAGTTTTTCGCAGAGAGCTATAATATGGGGTCTTTCAAACATTAAATGTTCAGATGGCTCCTTTACAAACAAGGTTAGCAATGCATCTACAACACCCCTTATGTTGCAGATGTCTATGGGCGACGGTCAGTACTGCCTATTAGGTAGACTACCAGCTCGTTTGCCCCTTTACTATAGAAGAAAAATAATAATATATTTGTATATCGTGAGGTGAATTTTTGAGCGTAAGATAGTACTTTCGGTAGGAGCTTCAGTTCAACTGAAAGCTACAAGGATTATTAAATCGGATCATTATATAATATATCGTGTTTTTTTAACTTCATTGTAAATGAAAAAATATTAAAAAAGAAAATTTATTAATGAAAAAGCGCAAAGAGTTATAAATAATATTGAAAAGAGCAGCGCAAAGAGTTATAAATAATATTGAAAGGAAATATTTAAGTAGAATTTAATTGAATTTCCTATTACACACTTATTAATTTGCCACATAGAAATAATAAGGAGATATATTAATTTTGTTCAAGTGTAGATCTTATATTGCTTGGAACTTAAATCATAATCATATTTATAAATATTACTTTCACAAAATGATCAATGTTGGCAAATATTTTAATGTTCTTTTCCGTTTACTGAAAACCTCTGAAAATTTTCACTATTTCAAATTTATTTCAGAATCACATAAAAAATAATTCTAAATAAAATATACTATCCTAGTCTCCCAGATTTAGGTTACATTTTAAAAAATAGTGACAGTAATTTAAAATTATTTGACTGCGGCTTTTCCAAACACTATATATCTATTAGTTTCCATGGAAACCGTTCTTTTAGATAATATGTGCTTTTTTTATTAAAATTTATATATTTCATGAGTTCTTTGTGGGTTTCTTTTTTTATTATTATTTTGTAGTATAAATGCTATTTCTAGAAGACTGACAACGATTTTTGTTTTATTAATTCTTTTTTATACAATTGACATTCTTAATTATTTTTAAACCCTTAAAAATTATTGTATAAAATAAATAAACGTCGTAACTCCTTTTTTATCAAGATTGATTGATTAATATAAAATCAAATTTACTTGCATTTTTTTATAGTTAAGTAAGTAAGCAAATTTTTTATGTTTATTTCTAAACCTCAATTATAACTAATTATCGAAGTAACATAGATGTAATTTACAGCAATGCAGTAAAACACAATGTTCCGTGAGTTAAAAGGTCGTTCAACCCTTTAAACATTAAAGTTAATGTACTATAGTAATGAGCGGAGCGGTGAGAGTAGCGGGAGCGTAGAGCGGGTATTGTAGCGAGATAAAAAAAAGTTGGATTAATTACTTAATTTAATATAACCTTCAAAAACAGTTAATTAAGCTATTTTTTACCGTTCTCATTAATCTAGTATATATTAAATACAAGACAGAAATAGAATAAAAAAGATGTTTTTGGACACAATAAATTATAGTGAAAGGAATATGAAAACATTAAGTTTGTTTTAGGTATGTAATATTTTAATATTAATACAGTTATATTAATATACCGACCACTAAAGTATAGAAATGAGTAAAAAGCACTAAGCAATTGTTCAAACAAAAGTATGTAGTTAGTATATGTATTTTGTGTTAATAAGATTTTCTCTTTATATAAAACTTATTATAATAGGAAAACCCTTCACTAATAAAACTTAAGTTATTGTATTTAATACTTAATATTTCCAGGTATTAATAAGGTTACATTTATAGCTCCGCTTATGAAATGCTACTATCAAAGTTCACTCTTAATTATGCCTATGTATCGATCTAGGTGAACGGTTTTTTTACACTATAAACGAAAGCCTTACTACCGTGCTTTTAATGGCTACAATACTTGAAAACCACACATTTACTCAAAGATCTTTAATTCTATATAGTTTTTACAAATCCAACTCATTATTGTAGGTAGCGAGTACAATTTATGATTGATTACAATTTTATTAAAAATAATAAACTGTAGTAAAGAAAATAGCCTTAATGGCCGCTTCTATCACAACTGAAGCGTGTTTTATATTGATTTAGATATAAATAGTATTTTCCTTTACAGTGATGCAACATTAACTTGTAATACTGTTATAAAACAAAAACTTTTCCACTTTTCTTAGGTCTTTTTAATCTATTGTTAAATATATTAAAAATACTTAAGTATGTATGTTTTATTTAACCTGTGAATTAATGGAGATAGGTTTACCTTTAGGTAACTTTTGCGACAAAGAAAATATTAGGCGATTTTAATTTAAAAGAAATCCAGTTTCAGGTAAGTTGTAAAGAAATGGTTGATACTTGATGCAATTATGGTACAAATATAGTGAAATAAAACGTTTTGAAAACGTTTATAATAAAATATACATGTTATAAGAAACATGTATTTGAAGTTGACTGAAGTTGTTTGTATGAATGAAAATAAATGTAATTTATCGCAATGAAGTTTTTGGAAAACCACAGTAACACTGTCTTGATGAAGGAGTGTTGCTTTTCCAGCGCATTATAAAAACATTTAATTATAAACTGAACTTGCTTCTTATTAGGTATATCTAAAAAAAAAGGAATATCAGATTATTTGGTTTGTTCTAAAAGTTTACGTTATCAGTGTTTTTTTACCTTTATACGTTAGTATTTTTATATCGAGAGTTTTACTCGCCGATTCATTATTAACTGATTGACTTATTAACTGATGAAATTTCATTTAGTCTTCCAAGATCCAGAGACTTATCAAGTCAACAGCGTGCAGTAACATGTAAGAATTTGTGGTAAAAATATACGGAACATTTTTTCCTTTACACACTAACAGCATGCTTAGTAACTACAAGTTTTGCATCAATATACTGTTTAGTAAATTTCGTTAGACAAAATCTGGTTCCATTTCTTATTTAATAACAATATAAATACTTT